TTCCAAGGTCGGTACCTCCAGATTCTGTACAAGTCCAAAGGCATGCAGAGAAAAATGAGTAAATCCGAAAAGGCCATGCTGGACAGGTACAAGTTAGTGGTGGTTCGCATGTCCTTGTATTTTGTCACCACCAAAATGGTCATGAGATTCCCCGTTACACCTACAAAGAAGAAGAGCACGCAGGTGACGGTGACCCCGGTTAGCACTGGAATGGGGAAAATGTTGACCGGGTGCTCGAATCCCCAGTATGTCGCGTTAGCATCCCAACTGCAGTTGAAGGAACAGTTGGACCGGTTCGTCCAGGTAGGCATGCTGAGAGATCATGGAGCGTCTAGATTCTCCTGTGAGAGAGCGCTCGGGGAGGACAGTCTCCCCTCCGACTCCCCATCGTGCTGCGCGCAGGGCTGCCCAACATTTATCATTTAACGTATACAGCATGTACCGCAGGATGCGAATTGTGGTCGTTTTGGAGGGTCTGACCTTCCTAATACGGCGTGAAGCCCCCTAAAAGTCGTCAAAATGATAATATATCTTCAAAGTAGGCCTATGTTCTTTTCTATATACACACTATATGTTTCAAAAGCGTTTTCTAACAACTTTTCAGAAACCACAAAAGAAGTCGCGTCCGCCTGTGAAAGTAACCATGGCAACACTAATCCGCTCTCTGCATTCGGTATTGCGCGTGAAAACGACAAAACTAGCATTGTTTAATCTAGGGTTACATATAACACATATACTCACACAAATGTTATTGTTTTAAAAGTCTTTATGATACTTGACGGCTATCTTTGACTGGGAATTGCCGACAGAAATTCCTTTAAAAAGTCGACTCCTCTGAAGGTCATCCAGTATTTCGCACCCTGCTGTAGCCTACTCTACAGATTTGTAGTTGTCAAATAAATGTCCTCATGACACATCCTCCATACCCATCCGTTCCACATCTAAAAATGGTTCCAGCTGATAGGAAAACTCCACATTGGACAGAAAATCGTTAGTCTTGAAGTTATTTAAGGCTTCTTTGGTCTAGGAAGAAAGATAAGTGTACAAGGTGAGAGATGAAATCACCTCGCGGAGTAATGCGCGATGCCTGTCAGCTGCGAAGGCTGACTCTTTCATTAATGATGCCTTTGATTCATCATTGAGCAAGTGGATGCGAAATGTGGGTAGAGCGTGTCGTAAGAGGTAGGAAAACGTCATTTAAAAGACAAAAGTAGGGAACGTAATGAAGATGGATACTTGTTGAACACTGCCATCGTGGGGTGACAGGATAGAATGCAGTCTAACACATTCTTGTTAAAAAAAAACATTTCTAATAGACGGCAGACCAAAACATCAATCTTGACGAAAATATATTTCTCTGGAATAGGGGATTATCATAAAAATGAAAAAGACGTGAAGTACGCTTTAGAGACAGAGAGAGCGAGAGAGAGAGAGAGAGAGAGAGAGAGAGAGATGATCTGGTTCTGCTGTCTCCAACAGAAGAGGGTCTACAGCAGAGCCTAGACATCCTGCACAAGTTCTGTCAGACCTGGGCCCTGACGATTAATCCTAACAAAACTAAAGTACTAACATTCCAGAAAAGACCCAGAGTTCAGGGAAAGAGACATAACTTCACCCTTGGTGTGACCAAAATTGAAAATGTCACAAACTACACATACCTCGGGCTGAAGATAAATGCCACTGGCAAGCTAAATTTGGCTGTGAATGAACTGAAAGAGAAAGCAAGAAGGGCTTTTTATGCCATCAAAAAATCTATCCAAATTGAAATACCAATTAGAATCTGGCTCAAAATATTCCAATCAGTCATAGAACCTATTGCACCTATCAGCTGGAACCATTTTTAGATGTGGAACGGATGGGTATGGAGGATGTGTCATGAGGACATTTATTTGACAACTACAAATCTGTAGAGTAGGCTACAGCAGGGTGCGAAATACTGGATGACCTTCAGAGGAGTCGACTTTTTAAAGGAATTTCTGTCGGCAATTCCCAGTCAAAGATAGCCGTCAAGTATCATAAAGACTTTTAAAACAATAACATTTGTGTGAGTATATGTGTTATTGTTTTAAAAGTCTTTATGATACTTGACGGCTATCTTTGACTGGGAATTGCCGACAGAAATTCCTTTAAAAAGTCGACTCCTCTGAAGGTCATCCAGTATTTCGCACCCTGCTGTAGCCTACTCTACAGATTTGTAGTTGTCAAATAAATGTCCTCATGACACATCCTCCATACCCATCCGTTCCACATCTAAAAATGGTTCCAGCTGATAGGAAAACTCCACATTGGACAGAAAATCGTTAGTCTTGAAGTTAATTAAGGCTTCTTTGGTCTAGGAAGAAAGATAAGTGTACAAGGTGAGAGATGAAATCACCTCGCGGAGTAATGCGCGATGCCTGTCAGCTGCGAAGGCTGACTCTTTCATTAATGATGCCTTTGATTCATCATTGAGCAAGTGGATGCGAAATGTGGGTAGAGCGTGTCGTAAGAGGTAGGAAAACGTCATTTAAAAGACAAAAGTAGGGAACGTAATGAAGATGGATACTTGTTGAACACTGCCATCGTGGGGTGACAGGATAGAATGCAGTCTAACACATTCTTGTTAAAAAAAAACATTTCTAATAGACGGCAGACCAAAACATCAATCTTGACGAAAATATATTTCTCTGGAATAGGGGATTATCATAAAAATGAAAAAGACGTGAAGTACGCTTTAGAGACAGAGAGAGCGAGAGAGAGAGAGAGAGAGAGAGAGAGAGAGATGATCTGGTTCTGCTGTCTCCAACAGAAGAGGGTCTACAGCAGAGCCTAGACATCCTGCACAAGTTCTGTCAGACCTGGGCCCTGACGATTAACCCTAACAAAACTAAAGTACTAACATTCCAGAAAAGACCCAGAGTTCAGGGAGAGAGACATAACTTCACCCTTGGTGTGACCAAAATTGAAAATGCCACAAACTACACGTACCTCGGGCTGAAGATAAATGCCACTGGCAAGCTAAATTTGGCTGTGAATGAACTGAAAGAGAAAGCAAGAAGGGCTTTTTATGCCATCAAAAAATCTATCCAAATTGAAATACCAATTAGAATCTGGCTCAAAATATTCCAATCAGTCATAGAACCTATTGCATTATATGGCAGTGAAGTGTGGGGTCCTCTCCTAAATCACCAAATCGGACAAAAATCCGATTGAAGCCCTGCATGCTGAGTTCTGTAAGAGTATTCTCAGAGTACAGAGGAGCACACCGAACAACGCATGCAGGGCAGAATTAGGCCAATACCCTCTACTAATGCGCATTGAGAAAAGAGCCATCAAATTTTGGAAACACCTAAAAATGAGTGACCCCAACTCTTACCATTTTAAAACCCTTAAAAACCATGAAGTGAACCCTGAAAAAAGTCCCCTGATTCAGATGGTCCTGAAGCTGCAAAAACAGACTAACAACATCCAGCATCAGGACTCTGAAAATATTCATCCACAAAATTCGGCCCAACCAAATTATAAATAGACCAGAGGTCCCACGTCAGACAAGGCAGAAAATTGAAAATATAAATGATTTATAGTGCTCAGAGGTCTATCTTCTCCTCTGTCTTTGTTGTTGGCCACAAAGCATCAGATACGCTGGGATGTCCTTTAGTGTGGCGTCTTGCTCTTCTTCTTCAGTGATTAATCCATTTAGACACAGTGGAATGAAACTCTCCTCACCATGGAAAATAGATGGATTTTTGGAGAGGAAGGGCTTCAGGAAAGTGCTTGCAGTTTGTTTGAAGAGCAGAATAAACTGCTCCAAGGGTAAACTATGGCCCTGACTGCTGAGCAGCCTGGAGATAAGTTGGTTTGACATTTCCACCTCTAAGTCTTATGTTGCTTGTCATTTTAGCATCGTCAGTCGTCAGAGCTTTTGCATGAGAGCTTATAAACAGTACTTTACACAGCTTTTACTGTAATAATACTGATTGCCTAACATGTATAATAATATATATTAATATATTATATATTTAAATAAGTATATATATACAGTATATATATATATATATATATATATATATATATATATATAATTATCTGTATTATAAATAAAAAATGAATACTTTTAAAGTGACAGGAAAAATGTAAAGAAATGTATAATGTCACAAAAGATTACTATTTAAAAAAAATTTTGTTTTGAACTTTCTATTCATCAAAGAATTCTGGAAAAAAATGTTCCATGGTTTCCACAAAATTATTAAGCAGCACAACTGTTTTCAACATGAATTAATAATAAAAATAAATATTTTTTGAGCGTCAAATCAGCATATTAGAATGATTTATGAAGGATCTGGACTGGAGTAATAGCTGCAAAAAATTTAGCTTTGACATCACAGGAATAAATTACATTTTAAAATATATAAAAACAGATAACAGTTATTTTAAATTGTAATATTATTGTAACTGTATTTTGATTTTAAAAAACATTTAAAAAATCTTACAGACCTCGAAATGTTGAATGGAAGTGTGTCTGTGTGTGTGTGTGTGTGTGTGTGTGTGTGTGTGTGTGTGTGTGTGTGTGTGTGTGTGTGTGTATGTATAAATATATCCATCCATTTTCCAGACTGTTTGAATTTGTGTTTTGGCAAGCCTGAGCACAGTGCAGATGTTGAGATCTCTTCTGGAACTCTAGAAGAGACATATAGATTACTGTATATTATCAGAAGACAAATCTAAGCAAGATATTTAAACAAAATTCTCCATTTGGTCTTTGTTTAATCTCATTGATATCTGGGAGAAACAACTGACCCATTCCAGACATCTAACTTGTGCTGCTTCTATCCCATGGGGAGATATCAGTCAATCTAAATTCATATTACAGCTGAATATAGGAGGAGCAGGTTGTGACTTGCAGCACTTGATTGGCTGAGCGACTGTGACTGACACTTCAGAACCCAGGAAAGGCCCCGCCCCCTTCAAACACATTGGCCTATGTCTGATCTCTCCACTGCCCTCTTGTTTAGTCTGTTTGGAGTTGCAGAAAGGGAGAGAGAGAAAGTTTTACGCTGTAAAACTATGAGTTAGTCTTTCATTGTGGGAGTCAAACAGCTGATTTATCATGAGGGAATTACATCTACCGAGGCAGGTCAGTAAAACTTTGTGCTGTTTGTTGTTTCTTGCTCTGCTCCAAACTTGTTCCAGCTTGCAGAGTTAAAGGGAGTGAAGACTTTTTTAGCAACAGTTCTGGATATATGTGTGTGTGTTTAATTGTGAAATGTGAAAGTCTTTCTGGTGCCGATATGTCTTGGCTTCTGTCTCACCCCAGTGTGAGAGGCTTTTGTATCCGTGGTGGAAAGTGTGACCAGTGCAGAAGAGAGGAAAGTCAACTTGGGGTTGCTGCTCCAAAATCCCTCTTTTGTTTTTTTGTTTTCAGCTGTACTCAAGGGCAGGAATACAGTACACTACAATTGAATACATTATATTTTAGCTCAATTTACTATACAATAATGTAGTACACCCTTTATTCTGGCAATCTCTCAGTTTTGGCTAAGCTGAGAGATTTGGCCAGCTTGTGTTTTAAATGGCGCTCTGTGTTTAATGTTTATTCCTTACACTGAAATCATGTCATTCATTAATCAGAACGCAAGAGACTTCTGACCCTGAGCTACTGGGAACTTCATGCTATCACTATAACACGCCTCACAGACAGGACGTGTAAAAAGGCACATGATAGAACAACTGTTGCAAACAATTACGTGCAAAGTGCAATCGCTCTGAAAACGGATCATAAAAATAATAATCAGGCTTTTTCAACAGAAGTATCAGTCCTGCTAAACTTCACTACAGGTTGGTAAATACTTTTTAAACTTACATGGAGACTGTCTTTCCTAGAAAGACCTACAAAACCCATCTTAATATTAAAGATGAATGACTAAATTTTGTTGGTGGCTGCCTCACTAAGTCATCTGTTTATAATGTTAACATGAACCTACGATGATATCTGCTTTTATAGTGAGCATTGCATTTCATCCACACGGCTCCATGGCTTACAATGACAATGCAAAAAATTCCCACAGTTCTTTAGTTGCATGCGTGCCCCAGCACACACAAGTGTCTATAGCATAGTGTCTCGTAAAGCTCTAACCGACATGGTGGCATAATATTTTTTGTCTCCTCCCAAAGGCACTGAGCCTTGTCTCCATAACGAATTACAATGGGCAGGAACTTGTTGGCAGGAAGCAACAGCTGATATCCCATCCACAACGTGCAAAAGAAAAGAACATTCACACTGACTTTTCATCCCCCCTCATTATCTGTGTATTGCTGTAGTTTAATACGCAAAATAGAACTGATGTTAAACAGGTTTGTTCAGAAGGAAGGAAATTAGTACACTGCAAATAGGGGTGGGCGAAATGACCAAAATCGTATATCACGATATGAGTAATGAGTAATTTTACTTCACTGTAATGATATATATCACAATATAGTTATTTTTGCTTTAAATAAGGTCTTTATGATATCAACATTTTTGATACCATTCAGTTTTCATAATTCTTGTCACCAGTGTCAATATCCCAAAAAAACTAATACTAGCTTAAATTAAAAAAAAGAAAGAAAAGAAACTAAAGCTCACTGAAGACAAGTAACCACTCAGCGATTAAATAAGAATAAGAAACTAATTACAAGCAATAGGATAAAATAAAAAACTACAGTAGATCAAATTAAAAAGAATGCTACATATTGTATAAAGTAATCAAATGTATGAAAACACTGCATATTCTTCACTTTGTAAATTAAATATATTTCTTCTTATTAAAGTTACAAAAGTGATTTAGTCAAGAACAGTGAGAGTTTTTCTCTCGTTTGTTGTTTGATTAACATGAACGACAGACAGCGGGAATAGACTGCTGTCACTTTAAGAGCTACGCGGATCCAATGTACTGTTACTGTACATATGTGTGTGTTTTCTTTCTCAGCTGTCTGCTTTCACTTAACACCTTAAATTACTGTTTACAAGGATACTTGCAAAGAAGGGCATTTTGACTCATACAAGTGTGTATTTAACAGTTCAAGGCCTATATAAAGTGGCAAAAATAACTCAATACTCTAATAGTTCAATATGAGCACCGTCTTCATATAGACAAAGAGTTCTCTTTCACTGCTGATTGCGTTTCAACGGCTTAAATCACTTGTTTTGCTTAAAAACGGGTGTAAACGTTAAGTTTTTGTGACCGTGTAACCGCGATAGAGATGATAGTCAAAAATCTCTACCAGTTGACAAATTTCTACAGGTTCATTGTGTCTACCGGTATATCGCCCACCCCTAACTGGAAATAGTAACTTTTAAATCAGTATTTTTGTCTTGTTTTCCAATAAAAAGTCTTATCATATATGCACAATGTTACTTCTCAAGTACATTTTTTTTGTTTTGTTTTGTTTAAAAAAATAATAATTCCTTGCAATCAGCACAAAAATACTGAAAATGACAATAAGAGAGGGCACATGTTGAAAGTATTTATTGGTTTGTCTAACAGACAGAGCTCTTAAAGGTCTCACTGTACTGCAGTTATTTTCTACAGTGCACACTGATTGTCCTGCTTTGGATAATTTACATCAAGATTTGTTTATTAAGAGGCGCAGAGCCAATAAGCCTAAAAGTTAAGCCTTCAATTCAAACACATCTCTGAAACTACAGCTTTACAAACATATTGTATATTGATGGACAAACTGAAATCAAGTCACCTTTATTTCTATAGTACTTTATACAATACAGATTTTGAATCTTCAAAGAGATAAACAGGAAAGCAGCAGAATCAATTATGGAAACTAAAGCTAAGGAGACCATTCAGATTCTGCTGTAAAGCAGCTAGACAATAATGCCATTATTTAGCTAATGTCCGTTCAGTGTAGTTTAGTTCAGATCAATAGCAGCGTGAAGACAATTAATCAGGTATAAGCAGTTCTACAAAAGGCAGAAGTGTGGTTATTCAGCTCGAGTCAGTTCAGTGTTGATTCAATTCAGTTCAATACCAGTGTCGATATTGCAAGAAACACCTCTGCTATAAAGCAGCTCAACAGAAGACAGTAGTGCCATCATCCAATTTAATTCAGTTCAAGTTTTTTTCTCATCCAGTGGTGTCAGTTAATGCGGTCATACTGATGAATTACTGAAAGTTACGTCTTTCAGACCCGAACTAAAGAAGCCAGAAGGCAAATTTGTCCCTGGAGAGAAGTAAATGTTAGTTCCCATAGTTTTAAATGACAGCTTGGCATGATTGTATGTTTGGCTGCTTTGAAATGGAGTATGCTTTAGGTTTAGTTTGGTTCCTAAATAGAGTCACTTTAAGCATATTGTTTGTTTGTTTGTTTATTTATTTATAAAGCGCAATTAAAACAACGTAACGTTGACCAATGTGCTGTACAATCTTTAAATAAAAATTACACAATATTAACTTTCAGACAAACAATGACCAACATTAACAAATGTTATAAAAAAAGCCTCTTGCTAATTAGCCTGCAGAACCAAACGCTAATTCAAGTAAATGCACTTTCAATTTTAGTTTAAAATAATCTAATGACGGAGCCAGTCTGAGATGTAGAGGTAGCTTATTCCAGCGCTTCGGAGCTGCTACTGCAAATGCCCGGTCACCACTCAATTTCAATCTAGTCCTTGGAATGTCTAGGATCATGGGCGGTTTGTATATACGAAGGAGATCCACTAAATAAGGTTTAGTGGCCAAATTATGCAATGCTTTATATACAACAATGACTAGTTTAAAATCAATTCTATACTGTATTGGCAACCACTGAAGTGATGCTAAAATCTGTGTCACATGCTGTTTTTTACGAGTACCTGTTAAAAACCTAGCAGCCACATTTTGAACCAATTGAAGACGATTTAACAATACTTGGCTAATACCCACATGCAGTGAGTTACAGTAATCCAGTTTTACAGAAATAAAAGCATGAATAATCCTTTCAAAATCACTAGAGGACAGAAACGGTTTAACTTTTGCTATTGATCTTAAATAGAAGAAATAAGATTTGACCACAGAGTTGATCAGTTTATCAAATTTCAAAGAACAATCAAATTGGACACCAAGGTTCTTCACCACAGATTTATAGAAGGGAGCTAAATTGCTCAAGTCAAAAGAGTTTTGGGTGTCAGGAGCCCTGAACCAGATAATTTCAGTTTTCATTCAAATTCAGATAATATTGTGACATCCAAGATTTAACTTCATGTAAACAACTCAATAGTGACTCAAAAGAGCTTTTATCCTGTTTCTGCAAAGGTAGATACACCTGAGTGTCATCTGCGTAACAATGAAAATATACTCCATGCTTATGAAACAAGACTGGGCCGAGAATGGATCCTTGTGGAACTCCACTAGATAATGGGGCAGGTTTAGAGTAATGTTGACCAAAATGGACTGAAAACGTCCTATTAAAAAGAAAGGATTTGAACCACTCAAGTGCCATACCCCGGATTTCCACTATCTTTTCTAGACGAATGACAAGAATATTGTGATCAGTGGTATCAAATGCTGCACTGTGATCTAGTAAAACTAAAACCACTGAGCTGCCTGAATCAATCGAAATAAAAATATAATTTAAAATTTTCAACAAGGCCGTTTCTGTACGATGACTTGCTTTAAACCCTGACTGAAATTTCTCAAAGATCTCATTTTGAACTAGAAAGGTCTGCAATTGGTTTAATGCAACTTTTTCTAGAGGGGGACTCAATTTAAAGCGGTTTTAAACTTTTATTGTTTTGATGCTCAAAAACACCTTTTTGTCTCTTTTATATAAACTGAGTGGCCAAGTGATATCAGTGGAAAAGGGAAGTCATTTCAGAGCAAAAGTTAGTTATTATATTTAGATTTGATATTACAAAGACAAACTTTTCTCTTTAGAACAGTATCCAGCGATCAGTCATTCACAGAAAGATCAGGAACATTGAGCAAGGTAAACAGAATTCCAATTTCATGTTGGCTTTGAGAAAAAAGAATGTCCAGATCAATATCTCTGGTGAACAAAAACAAATAATTTGCTATATAAATATTGTGATATGTTTTGAAACATGACAGTCTCTTTGTTTGTGAATAGATTTAATGACTTTCAGTCTCCTATGATTGTTTCTCTTAAGTTAAGCAGAAGCTTCCAAAGGTAGCTGTACTGAAAAAGGTGATGTCATATCGAGTTCAAATTATAGAGTTGCCAAAGAACCACACCTCATCATTACGCAAGATGTGAAGTTCAAATGTTTCAGCTTCTCTCTAGCACACATTACTCCGCTTTCACACATTTTAAATGGTCATTAAGCGATCATATCGAATAGACCAGCTAGCATCTACATGCTGCAGCCCACCGCAACCAGCTAATGGGAGGAGAAAATGTTCCATTATGTTTAATAGAAGGTTTTGTGGGGTAGTTATAGAGCAAACATGCACTTGGCAGCAAAATTACTGCAGTCTAAAGGAAAGCAACTAGAGTCTTTGTAAGAGAAAGCGAGAGAGCAGCCCTGTGTTTCCTCTTATTTGCTTTAATAATGATATTTTTGTTTTAACAACACAAATGTCTACTTTATGTTGTGTGAAAGGCTTGAAAATAGAGTTAATGATTACATTTAGTTTTACTGAACTTGAGTCAATGCAGGTTGTGTTGTGGTAGTAACAATTGGTGACTCAGCTGCTTAGTTTCAACATTTCTATAATCTCTTCCACTGTCATTCTTTCTTTTTCCTTTGTACTTTATATGCTGTTGCTCTATATTGTTTCCTCCACATACTGTGTGAAACGTTCTACTTTATACCTAAACCCACATCAGTTATTATCGAGCTATTAAAGCACTCCTCCATTCTGCTGCACATCCATTATTAACTGTGTTGGTGATGATTTTGCAATATGTTTAATGGCTTCAGTGGCTTATGATCACTCTGTTGTGGCATCATCTCACCTCCCACTTTATATTTTACCTGTATTTATAGCTTCAGATGGGTCACCATTCCTGTCATTTACCCTTCACAGATCTGAATCTATATTCAACCTTTCAATCATGCCACTAACTGACAAATTAATATTAGAGGGATATGAAGGCATGAACAGTGAACAGCTTCTTGTATTTTGTATTTCTATGAAAGCGATTATCATGTTTGGGGAATTTTCTTGGATTTGCTCCCAGAGATATTGAAGAAAACAGAATGTGATCTCCTTTTCTTTCTTTTTTCTGAGAGAATGACACTGATGTGATATTGTGTGTAGTATTAGATTAATGTTCACTGTCTGGAGGGATTCCATGCTCCCCAGAAGAAAACATTTGACCTCTGACTTTTGGCCTGACCAAAAGAGGAAATGTTTTAAATAGAAATTAGCAAACTAAGGGGTCAAGGTTTGGCTATGGTTTAGTTAGTCTCTGTTGGAAAATGCCATGAGTGCACCGCAAAATGCATCACCCGTTGAACTTTTTTTCTTTCTTTTTTTTCATATTCTGACCAAATCTTTTTAAGGCACAATATAATATAATGTAATATAATGTGATTACATTTTTGTCAGGATTCCTTGATAAATAGAAGGAACAGCATTTTTTGTAACCATGTAAAATACTTAACTGTTAATTGTTGATCATTATAATGCATTTGTTGAAAAAAAGTATTACATTCTTAAAAAAAAAAACTATGTCTTTCTCTTTATTTATTCCTTCCCTTTCTAGCTTGCACTTATATGAACAATGCCTAAAACTTGGTATTACGAGCACTTCCTGTGTCTGTTTGCCTCTTTAAGATGAATCGCTTTATGCATTCCCCAATTGTAAGTCGCTTTGGATAAAAGCGTCTGCAAAATGACTAAATGTAAATGTAATGTTGCTGCACAAATGTACCAAGCACAATGTAAACAAGGCACACATGCTAATTTCTGAATGAAAAAGACATATTGGTGGCATATTACCAGCTAATCAAAGCTAATTAGATTAGAGCTGGTTTTGCTTTAGGACTCAGGATTTAAATTGGACATCAAGTGGTGACACAACACAGTACTGAAGTTGTTTATCATACAAAATTGGATTTCAATATTTTATGATCTTGGCAGCCAATTGTTGGCACAATCAGTATATAATATTCAGGATTTTCAAGGATGAGTGCATGTCACACAACCTGTCTATGATGGAATCTACCTAATTTTATCAGCTTCTGCCAATTCACAGATCAGTCTGAGACAAAACTAGTTTGATTGGACCCACAACATTTGACATCAACAGCAAAAGTTCTAGGAAAAGTTTTCTCCTTCTCCTTTTTTGAAAGTTGCTAAACATTTAGTTTGATATCCTACTTATGCACAATTATTTGGTTAATTACATTTTGCTTTGGAGGATTTATTTAGTATATATATATTTTCTCCATACTACAGCAGTTGCGAAACATTGCTTTAGGATTTTGACTCGATGTGTGTTTGTGTGTTCAAACAGGCAGTGCTGGAACTTCAGACTGAAGAGTGTGAGAGAGCTTCAATGAGCTCATAAGTAAGTAACTCAATCTGATAAAAGCAGACATGAGTGACACAGTGGAGAACCTGGACACCAGGGACCTGGGGTTCTCAGATGCTGAGGATGAACCTGAAGAGGTGGACTGCGAGTTCAACCCCTCAGGTAAGTGATTATTAATAATATCAGATGCAAATCGTCCATTTGTTTTAGTAGTATTCAGTATTATTATCGATTTGACTGCTCAAATAAAATGTGAAAATTTGATAACATTTTATTACTGTGAAGCTGCTTTGGAACAGTCTGTATCGTATAAAGCACTATATAAATAAAGGCGACTTGACTAGTTTCAGAATGACTGATACAAGTTAGACTTGAGGAACAGAATTTATTTTGCCAGTAATTTTTCGGAGAGGAAGTGATAAAAGGTTACAGCAGTTCTGTCTTATCAGACATCTGGACTATATGGGACGTGTGTTAAAGGGAGTGATGTGAGGACAACTGTGTAACATGATGCAGCATGTCACAAACTAGAACTCAGTCACATTCCCTGAAGGCATTCCTCAGTCCGCCCTGTCTTTTCTTACAGGGGTATCCCGTATCCCATTCTCTGCCGTGTACAAGACAGTTGGCTTTAAAGAGACAGAAGCACAGGTCTATCTGAACGCTGCCCCCGTCACTGCCAAGATCCTAGATGTGGAACGCTTCACCAGGGCCCATAACATTTTATTACTGTGAAGCTGCTTTGGAACAGTCTGTATCGTATAAAGCACTATATAAATAAAGGCGACTTGACTAGTTTCAGAATGACTGATACAAGTTAGACTTGAGGAACAGAATTTATTTTGCCAGTAATTTTTCGGAGAGGAAGTGATAAAAGGTTACAGCAGTTCTGTCTTATCAGACATCTGGACTATATGGGACGTGTGTTAAAGGGAGTGATGTGAGGACAACTGTGTAACATGATGCAGCATGTCACAAACTAGAACTCAGTCACATTCCCTGAAGGCATACCTCAGTCCGCCCTGTCTTTTCTTACAGGGGTATCCCGTATCCCATTCTCTGCCGTGTACAGGACAGTTGGCTTTAAAGAGACAGAAGCACAGGTCTATCTGAACGCTGCCCCCGTCACTGCCAAGATCCTAGATGTGGAACGCTTCACCAGGGCCCCAGACCGCTTCAACATGTCCAAACACAGGAGCGTGTCCAAGGTGTGTGAAGCACATGCTAGTTAAAAGCAGAGGCTGAAAGATATCACAGATCTCACATCACTGCTGTGTCCACAGGCAATGCCAGCCGTGTTTAAGATAGAGCTCAAACATGGGAACTTCACCTGGATAGTCAAGAGAAAAGAGAAGCACTTCATGGATCTGCACAGAGAGCTTCTGCGATACAAGACCCTCATGAGGATCCCGCTGCCCACCCGAAGGTCAGACCCCTGCCCTACAGATAAACTTACTCAGTGATCCTTTACACCTGGTATGCAGCCTGATTGATTGAAAGAGTTGGAAAAGCCCATACAGATTTCACAGAACATTATTAGTATCACTCGTACACTACTGTTTGAGTGTATATATATATACGTATATATATAAAATGAATTTGAAATTTTACAAATGGTACAGAAGTAGAAAATAAAGTCACATTTAATTACATTTCTGAGTCCAGGATGAAAGTCCAGGATGAAAGAAATTCTGCTGTGTTTCAGTGCACAAATACTTGATTTACTATATCAAGCTGTCATGGTAACCTCTGCCTACTACAGTGTCTTAGACTTTTACTTTATGGCAATTTAATGATGTTTATGAGAACTGAAATAAGGCAAAATACCTGCTATGGACCTTACTTCTTCATTTTTTTTTAATCACAGAAATGCAGAAAAGCATCATATGACCCCTTTAACAGAAATCACTTAAACTACAACGAACGACTCGTTTGGACTACAACTCATATTTTCCGGGATTTGTGATATCACAAATACCGACGAATGTTACGAGACCTGGTTGAGCTGCACTAGAGAAGGCAATGAGTGTTATCACTATGTCGGAGACGTGCTAGCTTTCCCAAGGCAGACAAACTTAAAATGGTTACAATCATCCGGGTTTAAATCGTGCTCAAATTGATTTGATATTAACGCAAGCTCGCAGGCGGCTATGGTAAGGGGCATGACATTTCCCGACCAGGCGCCGAGTGGTGCCAATCACAACACACACTGGCCCAGCTAACCAATCACAGCACATTTCGTATTTCAGAAGGCGGGCCTTCATTTGATTCAGGAACTATTCGAGCCGTTCATGCCAGACTGGGGAGAGAGGTGTTGTAATAATGTAAAATATGTGAAAAATAATGTGTTTTTCAAACAACCTAGTATGAGAGCCTGTTCTAGTACACCCCCAAAACAAAATCAAGTCTTTGTAAAAGAGGATAATAGGACCCCTTTAAAAGAAACAAATACTTTTTTCTGCAAGGGCATATTACATTTATCAAATATGCGAGTAAAGACTTATTACAAAAAAAGTTATTTTTCAAATAAATACTGTTATTTTGAACGTTCTATTCATCAAAGATTCCTGTAAAAATGTATCAGCTTCCCCCAAAATATTAAGCACCACAACTGTATTCTTCATTGACAATAATAAGAAATGTTTCTTGAGCAGCAAATCAATATGTCAGAATGATTTCTGAAGGGTCATTTGACACTGAAGACTGGAGTAATGACTGAAAAGTTTGACTGTTTAATTGTTGTATTTGCATCAAATACAATCTCTTTGTGTCTGTAATTTATATTTATTTCAGCTTCTGTACAGATTGTTGAAGGTGCTGTATGTAATTTGTTTGACTGTACCAAAGCATAAAATACCATAATATGTTAGCAAATATTTAGGAAACATGCTACTTTTCAGTTATTCTACATTGAAATGTGCATGTGTCAGTTTGTTTTGGTCTTTGTGATTCTGCCAACTGCCAAATTTAATCAAATGTATTTCAAAAACCTGGGTTGCCAGTTGTACAGCCATGGAAGCCAGCAAGCGAACCGAGTCAGAAATCACAGATTGTAGCTTTAATATGTCATCTAAAAAAGGAAAGAATATTCCCCTTACAGTAAATCCAAGGTATCTAGATAAATTACCTCACTTTTAAGTTAAATTGTGAGAGCTTGCCACTCAGGATCTCATGATTATAAATGGCGAAACTACTTACTCCAACATTTTTCGGGAAAAGCCCTTCCTGAAAGATTCAGGTGCTTGCGGTACTTTCATTTGGAACATCCCTTTGAGTAGCATTCTCTTCTCACTGTGCCTTTCAAGTGCTGTTTGAAATTCACTCCCGTTCACAAGTGGTCACAGGAGATCCGTTAGAGATGCATGCCACTGCTTTGTGTAAGCGCTAATGTGTCTCAACTGACCACTTGTGATTCAGTGGCCCCAGACGGATCTAAATACCAGGTGTAAAGGATCAGTTACTAGCTTAAAGTAGCTATAATAATTCTCACTTCCTCTACACTCCTTTGTCCTGTTTTTGTCCTCCAAATATTACTTTCTTTTTCTTTTCTCTGTTTTTCTCCATTCTATCTCTTCCCCATTCTTTTTTTGTTCTCTTCTCAGAGTTCATGTCTATTCGTTTTCTCCATGAACTGTTTGCCTTTTTTTTATTCCTCTCTTTTTCTGTCACAGACTCTAATATCTATGTCTTTCTTTCAGCCATACAGAGAGAAGAAAGAGCATAAAGAGGAGCGAGGTGAGGCAGATGCCTGTACTGCCTCGGGGAGCTGGAGATGAGTTGGCACGAGAGGAGCAAGTGTCTAGTCGGAGAGTGAGTCACTCCAACATGCTTACTGCAGTACTAGCCTTGATCACAAACACTGTTGAGCATGACGTGATCTTGATTGTCTCAAGGCGTGTGAGTCTGTGAGAAGGTCTTTCCAACACATCACTGACACCATTTAGTGGTCTCTGAGTGTGTAGTAGCAGCACCCTGCTTCTCATATCATTAGTGCGAGTCACATGAGAACATGACAACATCACTAGGTTCTCATAATTTACGGATGAAATTCTTAATATTCGAGCTGTTGAATATTGATTGACGACTTTTTCAATGGTTTGACATTCGGAAGTATATTTCCTGGTCATTTTCTATGTGGATATTTAAGGAAAATCTTTAGAAAAACTAATGGATAAATCATTTATCAGCTGATTAGCATACAGCTCTTCCTAGTCAATACATTAGGACTAATAGGCAAACATCACTTTCATAATTAATATTTTAGAGTTTATAAATATTTCAGAAAATACTGTATATTTTTTTTGTAATTCTTAATAGTAACTTTCATTAAAGACATTTTAGAAACGTTATGTAATGCTATATTTCTGTGTTGTGTCTGTTATATTGATCAGATATTTAAAGTACATTTACATAGGTAACATAATAGAAAGTTAAATTGATATTCTTTATATGATAAAGTATATATTCATTATATGATAAATATAATCAAACATTACATTACAACATAACTAACATTTGTAGCTAGATAGCTACATAACATTAGCTAGCCTGCAAAAATGGGCTATTATTTTTGTTTGAGTTTGTTTTTGTTTGAGTTTTAAGTGATTTTAAGATTAAAACAATAACAAATATCTGCCAATGTGGTAAGAAAATAAACTTAATTTGAATGGAAAACATGACTGACAGTTTGACATATTTTTTCTGTTTTAATCAAAAACTCACTTAATGTTGGCGCATTTCTCAGAAAGCAAGACTTAATATCTTTTGTCATTTTGCATGTCTAGTAAATGTATATTGATTTAAGAATATTTAGATATTTTTACTGGAAAACAACACAAAAGTACTGAAGAACATCATTTTTGGTAACTTTGTTACTAAAGACAACTGTGCATTGGTGGTAACTGCAACTTTTCAGCAAATTAAACAATTGAATTTTTTTTTAATGACGTTGAAATAATGCTGATGTATTGAAAGGTTTAAATGTCATCACCAAAAATATATTTTGGAATATTTTGAGTGGCATTTTTACTTTCTGAGCTTTACTGTTGTCTGTCATGGAACAGAACCAGTGCCACCGGATGAAACTTTTAATATCAATTAACAGACATATTCTCCTTTTTCAGAAACAACTGGAAGACTACCTAAACAAGCTGCTGAGGATGGCAATGTACCGAAAATACTACGCAACCGTAAGCTCACTCTTGATTATGGAGTTTAGGCCCTGATAAAGCTCACGTTGAGTTATCTGACTGTAATGAAGCAGCAGCCTGAGGATCGATATTACCGCTGGAGACTGTGTGCCCTGAGCGTGTTAATGTGCAGCTCTCTCTCTTAGCTCAGAACTATCCAAGCAGCTTTAATCAAGGACATCTGTAATTCTCTCTCTCTTTCTCCTTCACATTCCTTTTTTTGTTCTCTCTCTTCCTCTTTAGTACCCTGCAGGGGTTAGTATAGCTGAGGAATTAGTGCAACTTCTTTTAATTGAAGCTGCGTCTCTGTCTCACTGGTTTTAAACAGAATTGTTTCTCTTTTACAGATGGAGTTTATTGATGTGAGCCAGTTGTCCTTCATTCAGGACTTGGGCCCCAAAGGCTTGTATGGACACAATCTATTTGCTTTATCTATCTGTCTGTCTGTCTGTCTGTCTGTCTGTCTTGAAATATATTGCAAACTTTAAGATTTATGATATATATACATTGTGACAGTAACTTCAAACAAGCAACACATTTTTCATGCATAAATTCTCATTACAATATGTGTCTGGATGTTTTCATAAATTATCAAATATAGCATAATTCCATAATTATAGCAGTATTTTGTACTATATATATCATTAAACTGTGAAGCCATTTTTTTTCAATTCAGTGTTATAGCAGTATGACAAATATTCCCATAATGTGTAAATACACTAAAGGTCATGGGAATTTGGGAGGGTACGTGTTTGTCTTGAAATTGTCATGGTGGAAAAAATGTCATGCTCTTAAAATGTACTTAATTTTCTGCAACATACTGTATAATCTATTATCTAATTTCTTATCTGACATATGACACAGACATGCTTTTAATGGGTTTCATGAGATTCACCCTTTTGCACATACAAACCTGTATCTTTCAGAGAAGGCATTGTTTATAAAAGGTCAGGAGGTCACCGCATCCCAGGCATGAACTGCTGTGGCCACAATGAAGTCTGCTACCGCTGGTCCAAGAGGTACTATAATTATTCATAAAACACAAAATCTATTGCTGAAATTCTCTAGTAAACCATAAGAGCAGATTAAATGCATTCATGCAGTGAGGCTGTGCTCTTCACTTTGAGCTTTAAAGAGTGTCTCACATATGTTAAAGCCAGAGGCGGACAGTAACTAAGTACATTTACTTAAGTATTGTACTTAAGTACACCTTTTGAGTATCGGTACTTTACTTGAGTATTAATTCTTCTGGGAACTTATGACTTTAACTTCACTACATTTGAAACTGTGAAAATACACAGTGCAGATAGAGCGGGCGCCCACACACACACACACACACACACACACACACACACACACACTGTACAGTCTCTTTGAGTCTAGCAAGCTGTTTATCTCTGCTCCACTGATACCATGCTACTTTCGTTCTCTGATTAAACCGAGACTGCATTACTGCCTTTCACTACTCTCTGTATAATAATGCTTTAGAGAAGCACACTTTGACCTCACTGTTGTGATGGAGTCTAATGATGAAGTCTTTTGTGCTCTTTGTTTAGGTGGCTTGTTGTGAAGGACTCTTTTCTGCTGTACATGAAGCCAGACACAGGTGCCATTTCATTTGTCCTGCTGGTGGACAATGAGTTCAGTATCAAAATGGACTCCAAATACACAGAGACCAAGCATGGAGTGAGCATAGAGAACTTGTCCAGGTGTGTTCTCCCCAAAATGAAAGTTTGCTGAAAATTTACTCACCCTCAGGTCATCCGAGAAGTAGATGAGTTTGTTTCTTCTTTGGAACAGATTTGGAGAAATTACATCACTTGCTCACCAATGGATCCTCTGCAGTGAATGGGTGCCGTCAGAATGAGAGTCCAAACAGCTGATAAAAACATCACAGTTATCCACAAGTAATCCACACAACTCCAGTTCATTAATTAACATATTGTGAAGTGAAAAGCTTGTTTGTAAGAAACCAATCCATCATTAAGGCATTTCAAACCTTTATGTCTGCCTAATATATGAGTCCTCTATCCATAATATTGCTTTCTACAGTGAAAAAGTCATCTTGTCTGAATCAGGGAAGAAATATGCACAGATCAAGCACCGTTTCCAAGTGAAAACAGTCCAGAACAGCTTTAAACAAATATGTTGGTGGATTTTGAAGAACAGGGATGGACTTTTTCACTGGAGGAAGACATATTGTGGATTATGGACTCGTATTTTGTCTAGAAGCAACAGTTTAAAGTTAAAACACCATAATGATGGATTGGTTTCTTACAAGCTTTGTGCTTCACAAGACTTTAATGGATGGACTGGAGTCGTGTGGATTACTTGTTGGTTATAGAGATGCTTTTATCAGCTATTTGAACTATCTTTCTGACGGCACCCAATCACGGCAGAAGATCCATTGGTGACCAAGTGATGTAATGCTAAATTTCTCAAAATCTCTTTCGATGGAGAAACAAACTCCTTTTCAAAAAAAGTACATTTTGGATGGCCTGAAGGTGAGTAAACTGTCAGCAAATTTTCATTTTGGGTAAACTATTGCTTCTATCCCAACCGTAATGTCACTTATAAATGTCTCTCTCAGTTTGTAGACAATTTGTGTTTATTTGTGTGTTTATGTCTTTTGCAGGAAACTAGTGCTGAAATTCACTAGTTACAGACATGCACGGTGGTGGGGTCAGGCCATTGAAAGCTTTGTCCGGAAACATGGCAAGGCCTTTTTAAGGACCCACCGCTTTGGATCTTTCGCCAGGGAGGAGGAGAACATACCCTCTAAATGGTATATTTAATCTAAGAGGTCTTATTATTCAATCTTAGATCTAAGAGATCTTTTACCCTGTTATTTCTGACAACTAAAAAAAATGAATGTTCAGGTATGTGAATGGCAAAACCTACATGGAGGATGTTGCAAATGCGCTGGAGGAGGCCAAAGAGGAGATCTTCATCACAGACTGGTGGTATGTACTCACTGTTTCCTCTCCAAGAAAACATGTTCAGGCAGACAGATAGTCTCGGCCCAGCTCACACTATTCCTTGAGCCAATGTTACTATCACAGGCTGGACAGATTGCTTTAACAAACACAGCAATGTTTTGATAGCTCCACAGTGTCAGTGTTTACATTTTTCTGGGAAATCAACCTATAAATACCGTTTATATAGTGTGCATATCAGCTGTGTAAAGAAAAAGCAGAGATGACATATATAAATTTTTTTGTGGCATGAATGGCAGTCTTGGCTCATTAAAGACAAAACATGGCCAGAGAAAAAAAAACAATTTTAACGACTTCTAACTAGTTTTAAGGTCTTTGAACTAGTTCTTTGTAGAAGTCTAAAACAGTATAGTGTAGCGGTTACGTTTTTGTTTAGGGGATGCACAACAAAACCTACAGCCTGGATTGATTCTGGTCTTCCTTAAATGGAAAATGTAATCTTTAACCTGATATAAAATGTTGTTTTGTGTTCATTTCTCATTGTTTGGTTAAGTTTCTGTAGACATTATTACATGCAGAATGTGTGACAGTGAATCAGCAGCTCAGAGTGAGAGGTGTATGTTATACAGCAAGACCAGTATCTCTCACTTCACAGGTGTTGAGTTTCAGCCCTCCTTATTTCAAAATTATCTCTCCTGAAATAGACTCAATGGTCTGATCCTCTGTGTGTGAGGGAGTAGGTGGTTATATGAGAAATCGCTGCATATCTTAATGTGTATTTTCGATGTAGTTGTGCATGTAGAATATGAAATATCAAACATTCTTTTGATGTAAACCCACATGAAAGTTTGTTTGCAATTAACTATGGACAACTATTCCTTTCCTACACTTAATAACCACTGGTTGAAACTTAAACATCAGTGTAATTAAATTTTGACAAAATATTATTTTACTTTTATTAATGAATTAAAATTATATTATATTAAAATGTGTTTTAGTAATTATTTATTTTATAATAATGTGCACAATAAGACCAGGAACGTGTATTAAGAAATTAAGTCATGTCCATTTTAATCTAATTTAGACTTTAATGGTGGTGTGCTTGTGGTATGCTGTATCTGCTGCATGATTGTGTTTGTAATGTGCAGGCTGAGCCCTGAGATCTTTCTGAAGAGGCCTGTAGTGGAAGGCAATCGCTGGAGGCTCGACTGGATTTTGAAACGCAAGGCTGTAAGTCCCCTCAAGTGCATTTGTCCCTGGTGCCATGCTTATAATTTAAAAGGAATATTAAGCTGAAAATACAGACACATATTCAGTTTCAAAGTAAGATTATTTATTTATTTTATTTACTTATTTTATTTTTTACCTATTTATTTACTTATTTGTTTTTAAATTATTTACTTTTTTGAATGAATGAATGAATGAATGAATGATGCATTTTTATAGAGCTTTATTGTGTATTCACCCAAAGCGCTTTACAATCATGTTGGGGGGTCTCTCCTCAACCAATTTCTATTTTATTTATTTATTTACTTTACTATTTACTATTTATTTTTATTTATTTATTTTTAAAGGGGTCATATGATGTTGCTAAAAAGAGCATTATTTTGTGTATTTGGTGTAATGAAATGTGTTTATGCGGTTTAAGGTTAAAAAAACACATTATTTTCCACATACTGTACATTATTGTTTCTCCTCTATGCCCCACCTTTCTGAAACGCGTAGATTTTTACAAAGCTCATCGGTCTGAAAAGCAAGGTGTGCTGTGATTGGCCAGCTATCCAGTGCGTTATGATTGGCCGAATACCTCAAGCGTGTGACGGAAATGTTACGCCATACCATACTGTGATGATGCCCTGTTAGGCCGGAGCCATAGTTGCCAAGTCCGCGTATTATATCCCAGGTTTGGGCTTATTTTAAAAAATATGGTTGCTTGTTAGGGAAATCTGACAAGCAACTTCGTTTCTTTATTTATGCTCGCCGTATTCTCCAATGCATTGAATAACACTCTGTCTGCTCGCAGTTAATAGCCAACCAGTGCAATAATATAAGTGCTGCAGCATAATTTGCCAAATGTTCTGCCCCCTCCTTGGAGAAAATCACGTTTAAAAAGAAGGCGCTTGACACTGTAATCCAAGCGATGATAGAAGTAGACATAGAGGAGTGGGATGACTTTCTTTTAGCCTATTTTTTTATTTTTACAATAAGTTTTTGTAATGTATTAATTATCACAGGCTGTAATAAAAAACAAGTAGTCCTATATTAATACTAAGAGTAAATCTTGTTCGAATAGCCTATATTTTAGTAGACTATAAATATGTGGCTATGTTACAGCTCCTCTTTGAAGCTCTTGTGTTTTTCACCTTTTCCATCTCTCCAAAATAGCCTATATTTTAGTAGACTATAAATATGTGGCTATGTTACAGCTCCTCTTTGAAGCTCTTGTGTTTTTCACCTTTTCCATCTCTCCAATCCTATTCTGCACACAGGTGATTGGAGATGAGTTTTGGTCCCATTTTTGTTGCAGTTTGCTGATTTTTGTAAAATAGCTTCTGTTTTAGTTTTTTAGTTAAAAGAGTGGTTTCAGTTTAATATGTTGCAGGCTCATTTATTGGTAATAAATAATTGATAATAAATAATATTGATGATAATAAATCATTGGGCTTGTGTTGGGCTTGTTTTTGAAGCAGCAGTTGCATATTTGTCTCGCGAGAGTTGGCAACAGTGGCCGGAGCGATGATTCAAAAACATGAAAACCCATTATAAACGAGGCATTCGTTGCATCCAGTTGGGGACATAATTATGGATTATAATGACTTATACTGTCTTTTTACGCGTTGCGTAGCATCGCGCAGCGTAAACATAAAACCATGTCTGCATTTGTGATCGGAGAAATGACAAACAACAAGCGCTACTCTACATTGCCCAAAAAACTCGCCTTAAATATAAAAAATATATAATATAAAAACTCTTTAAATATAAAAAACGTACTTACAGTCTGTGAGTCAGAACAGCCGGCATTGTAGTCTACTCTACCAGGATCAGGAAACGGTCCTCCATAAAATGTGCTGCACACGTCTGAATATTTGGGTTGAAGTGTTCTGGAACAGTGTTGTAAATACAACTTAACCACTGATTTCTAGTCGTGTCCATTTTTGGAAGGCCAAACAAAGTAGTTTCGCTTTCACAACGAAACACAGCGTCACACACGGTGGCCTAGAGTGAGCGGCGGCGGCCTAGAGTGAGCAGAGGCTGGGGGCTAGAGTGAGGAACGGCCGGAGGGCTAGAGTGAGCAGAAGCGGCGGGCTTGAGAACGGCGTGGCCGGCGAATTCGACGAAGGAGCGTCCAGAGGGGTTGCGGCAATCACATGTGACGACCCCGGGCTGGACTCTGCTTCGTCCACGGTGAAAGCCGATCCGGCGATCCACAGCGCAAAGTTGTTGTATTTCCTCAGCAACCAGCACGGATCAGCTCCAGGCATGACGAAGCAGACATCGTCCTCTTTTGGAAGACCAAACAAAGTAGTTTCACTTTCACAACGAAACACAGCGCCTTCACGACATGGCGGCGACGGCAACAATACTACAGTGAGAATAAAAGTTATGCCTTCTTTCTTTGCGTGAACGTTTGGGTGGCGTTATGCAAATCTTCCCACATAGTGACGTAGATATGTGGGGGTGTGTTAGAACGAGCCGTTTTAGGTAGGCGTGGTTGACTCTTAACTTTTATAAAGAATATCTCTTTGGATTTGAGACTTTAGTCTTTGCAACTTCACAGATCTTCTTTATGCACCAAGAGCTTGTAACACTCCAAAGAGAAAGAGAAAAATTTTAATTGCATCGTATGACCCCTTTTTAATTTTAGCAACAAGGAGTTCGGATCTTTGTTATGCTGTATAAGGAAGTGGAGTTGGCGCTCGGCATCAACAGTGAATATAGCAAAAGAACACTAATGCGCCTTCACCCAAATATTAAGGTAAGCTATTTGTGATTTGATCTGCTTTTGCATATCTTGCGTGACATCATATGCGATTGTAACTGTTCCTCTCGCTTAACAGGTGATGAGGCACCCTGATCATGTGTCCTCCTCTGTCTACTTATGGGCACACCACGAGAAGATTGTAGTCATCGACCAATCAGTTGCTTTCGTTGGGGGAATTGACCTTGCGTATGGCCGCTGGGATGACCGTGAGCACCGACTGACAGACGTGGGAAGTGTAACACGCTGTGTTGCTCAGGCCATGGAGCAGGTTCGAGACATCATCATGTTCCATAAAAACATGCTACATTTGGCTACATTATTTGTACCACACCCATGGATGATATCACTGTTTGGCTTTGAAGTTTTCATGTTTTTGCCAGTTATAATGAAGTGGAATTATGTCTGTTTTGGGACTCAGGGACTTGATTCATGCACGCACAGGAAAAAAGTGTCCACCAGTGGAAACAGCAGCCGGTCGATGGTCGATGACTCAGTGGACCTGCCCAAACTAAAAGGCATTGGCCGCACTCGCAAAACACGTTTCAGTCTGTACCATCACATCCAACGTGGCCTTCACCATGCTGACAGCATCAGTAGCATCGACAGCACAAACAGTAAGTGACTCTTTCGTGACCGAACTAAAATTGATTCCACAATACAATCTGTGTTTTTCTCTGATGAGTCTGCTGATGACTAATTCCCCTGTGACCTTAACAACTAAAAAAAAGTATTCTTAAAGGGATAGTTCACTGCAAAATGAAAAGTGTCATTGCTTACACGCCCTCATGTCAACTAACTTTCTTCCATGTACTAGTCACATTTTTTTCCATTTACAGTAGTTATAATACATGGGATTGGACTGGACTGTCATTTTTGCTTATAGGTGTTCAGATCCACACCCCATTTATTTCACCTGTAAATGACATGCAATTTGAAAAGCTGTAAATGACATGCATTTTTCTGGAACCATAGGAAGGTGATATCATTGCAGCATAGATTAGCTGATGGCCCCATAAGAATTCATATATATATATGTAACATGAATATAACATGAATATGAATATAACCTGTATACTGTATATACGTATATGTATATATTTAAATCAACTTTATATATACAGTGGGGCAAAAAAGTATTTAGTCAGCCACCAATTGTGCAAGTTCTCCCACTTAAAAAGATGAGAGAGGCCTGTAATTTTCATCATAGGTATACCTCAACTATGAGAGACAAATATTAAATATATTTATATATAATATAAGTTTTATGAATATAAATATTGACATGTAAATACATGTAAATATTTTCAAAATATATACTGTATGTGTGTCTTTATATATACATAATAAATATACATAGTACACACACATGTATTATGTAAACAAAAACTTTTATTTTGTGACGTGTGTGTGTGTTGATTTAAATATATACATATACTGTACATATAAATATATATATAATTTTAATTATATATATATATATATATATTTTTTTATATATATATATATTTTTTTTTTCAGTGGAGCATACAATTTTGAACAGGATGCAATTTTAAACCCAGCTTGCAATTATCATAGTCCAGTTATCACGAAATACTGAAATCCTGTTATAACTCTAGACTATCTGGATCAGTAAATGGGGCAAAAGGTCAAAAATTATCAGTTACTTCTCAATGTCAGTCAGTCTGTGGATCTTGTCTGTATTTTTCTTCTCTGTTGGATGTGCAGTGATGCTTATCCTTTCTGGCTTCTATCGTAGGTGTAGCTTTAGACACCCTGCCTGGGCCCGAGCGATTGCCCCATCCTTTTCTTGCTTTAGCTCTTTCTGTTTGTTCTCCCTGCCATAGAAGGCACACATATAGATTGGTTTGCAGTCTGTCTGAGAGAGGATTAAGTGTATTTGAAACTAGCTTAAAGACTAGACCGCAGATATATGCTTTAATGAAATAACTTTGACCTCAGGGTAGATTTCATTTGTCGCTGATTCTTACACTAAAGTCACATTAATTTGCTATTAAGATAACTAATCCTTTGTTTCCAACTAATTCTTCAGTTTTAGATTATGGTATGATGCTGTGGATAAATCTAAAATATTACACATGCAGTAGCTATCAATGTCATGGAAAAGGATGGTCCAAATGTGTCAGTAATATGATGTTTGTTTGTTTGTTTGGTCTGATGTCAGTTATTTAAATTATTGCTGAACTGTAACAAAAACTTTTTTCATTTGCAACATGTACATTTCACCAAATACAGTAGACTGGCTGTATTGTGTATGTAATGGTGTTCGTCGTCCCTAGACCTGTTTTTTGTTTTGCCTTGTCGGCCTATCTGTTCTAATAAAGAGGTTTTCACCTGCATTTGGACCCAGACCCGGTTTTTCCACGGTGCCCCTTACCGGCCGTGACAGTACATTTCAGCAAATACAGTAGGGTTTCAGAAGAGAAATTATAAGCGTCAAAGTCTTTTTATTCTTCTATTAAGAAATATTTTAGACACATGATATCCCTTAATATATAAGGAATTATAAGAGTATAGGAATTACATTCTATTAAAACAATTATATGAGTAATTTATATAAAATGAAAAAAAACTATATTTAAATTATTTTCTCTATTTTTTTCTAATATATTGTAATATAATTCTAATATACATAATTGATTGTAGTATATAAAAATACAAAATTACAATTTAAAATATTTACAATTTAAGTAATTATTCATCATGTATTTTGAACATGTATCATATATTGTATATTCTACACACAAACACACAAATCAGTCAAGTCCTGATTGCACAGACACTATTGGAAGAGAGCTGAACTGGATGATGACATCACTGAAACATCAATGAACTGACTTTAGCTGGAAAAATTACTCCGTTATTGTCCTCTTACATTATTGACAAACTATTTTCCTACTTGACACTGTAAAGCTGCTTTGACACAATCAGTATTGTATAAAGTGATATCAAAATAAAGGTGACTTGACAAAAACAAAATAAATTATGTATATATATATGGCCTTTATTTTTTTATATATTGTGTATATTTGTCTATGGTATGCCTGTGGTTACACTCTTCATGAAAAAAAAGTTAAATTAGTAGATCTGAAAGTAACTCATAAGTCGTTTTATTTTAAAAGATCCTTTAAGTTTATTAACCGTTTTGTATGTCTTGTGTGTTCAGAGAGTGGCTCAGTGCACAGTCTTCAGACAGGAGTGGGAGAGCTGATGGGAAACACTCGCTTCTGGCATGGCAAAGACTACTGCAACTTTGTGTACAAAGACTGGGTTCAGCTGGATAAGCCTTTTGATGGTGAGCCACACATTTTACTGCCTGGCCGCTTTTTGCTTTCTTCATTTCAATGATCATTAATCCGGGTAGTCCAAGGTTAATTGTGTTATCAAACGCAGTCTTTTCAATGCATTTCAGATGTTTACAATCCTGCTTTTTAACACTATGCTCGACTATAGATTTTATTGACAGGTACACAACCCCCAGAATGCCCTGGCATGATATCTCCTCAGTGGTGCATGGGAAAGCAGCCAGAGATGTGGCCAGGCACTTTATACAGCGCTGGAACTTCACCAAAGTGAGATATTTACCACCCCTTTGCCTGGGCCATGACCCGCACACTTTAAACGTATTTTTGTTTAGACAAGCTTCTGAATTGTCTTCTGTGCGTTTCTTGAATTTTACTTTAAGCTGTGACATTTTGATGAAGCATTATTTGGTTCTGTCATAGTAAACTGACTTTTCTCTCCTTTAGATAATGAAGCCAAAGTACAGGTCACTCACCTACCCATTTCTCCTACCCAAATCTCACAGCACAGCCAATGATCTAAACTACCAAGTGCCAGACTGTGTCCAGACCAAAGTCCAGGTGAGAACGCATTAATGGCTGTTGCTGTAACTGTTAGAGTGTGATACTAGGAACATCATATGCCTAAAAAATGGATACCTTGCATGCACAATAAGTAACTTTGCCATAAACGCCCATAAAATTGGCCATACATGTAAATGGTCTCTCAGGTTCTGCGGTCAGCTGCAGACTGGTCGGCGGGAATCAAGCACCATGAGGAGTCCATTCATAATGCCTATATTCAGGTCATTGCCAAGAGCAAGCACTTCATCTACATTGAGGTACACAATCCCCCACTTTCACTTTGTCTGTCAGCATTCAGTGATATGATTCAAATGTGTTTTTTAGTAGTTTAGATGCAAAATGTGTAATAAGTTGTAAAACAACGTTGACATTTCAGTTGCTTCATATTATTGACAAATGACATGCAGCAGTGGTTATCAGAGCATTTTGGGGAGAGATGCCAAGAATTATTCAGTGGAAATTCTACAAGAACCATGACTTGGATATTCACCAAGTTAAAACAAACTAATAAAATCTATATAATTGGAAATCTACTTTTAAGAGAACTTATAACAAGAGATTACAAGAATTTATAATACGAGATGATAAAATAATTTAAATAATCATATTTTACTGTGGCCCAGCAGAAGTAAAACTTGTTCACCTAACTTGCCTGATGAATTGAAATCGATTGTTCCTGTTTCATTGTTTTGCTTCAGAACCAGTTCTTCATCAGCTGTGCCGATAACAAACATGTTTACAACAAGATTGGTGACGCCATTATTGAGCGAATCATCAGAGCTCACAAGTAAGTGTGAGAGTCCTAATGCATTAACACTGATTGTCGATCATTACCATTAAGTGGACCAGAGGAGCTTAGTAGGGATGTGCAAGTACAGAAGCAACATGCACATTTATTGTAACTAAAAAAAAGTGGTTCGCTAATTTCTGCATTTTACAGATCATTCACTGATCATTTGCTAAAATGTTTTCAGTACAACAAAAATACAAAGTAATGTGCAATTCAGAGACAATTGAGACTGACAAATAAATGTATTTAAAAAAGGTAAATATAAAAAAGTAATACATATTTATGTAAAAATGATTGTATTGTATTGTATTGTAATAGATCAACTGTAATTGCCCCCCAACATGTTTAACAAAAAATTTACAACCAGATTATCATGTTGGGTTGTTTAAAACTTTATTTATTTATTTATAATCCTTTGGTCAAGTCTTATCTTACTCCCTCAAAAAAAGCATGACACCCCTGTTCATGCATATCAACACATGCAAACAAACCCATCCTAAAGTGCCACCTTCTCCAATACTAATGGAGTCCTGGCAACTGCAGTTCCCTGTGAAGTATGTGATTTACAGGAGACCCAAGTCTCTCTGCTGCTGTCATACACACAGGCTCAGCTGGAGAGACAGACCTGTCTTTAACACACACTGACGGCTAATGAGAAGCCAGCTTCTGCCACAGCACTGATGTGAGCCAGACATGGGCTGTGGATGTGCCACTCTTCATTTAGTCATTCCAGGCATCGCCCTCAATACTGAAATACTGCACTGTTGTTTGTGCTTTAACAATGCTGGCATGTGCTCAAAGAACTCTCTGGGAGAAGAGCCATTCGAAATGACTTTATGATCATGGAGGCTGCACACAGATTAAACACAAGAAATGCTGCGAAAGTGAAGTGGGTTGGAAAGGATGTTTTACCATTTAATGGCAATGGAAGTGTGGGTATTTGATTTAAGTATAAGCATGTGTATATTTCCATGGATATATCGGATTGATGTTTGCTGTAATGTGTCACAGGGAGAAGAAGTTGTTCCGTGTGTATGTGGTGACTCCCCTGCTGCCTGGATTCGAGGGAGACATTTCCACAGGAGGAGGAAGTGCACTCCAGGCTGTTATGCATTTTAACTATAGGTAAGAGTGAAACTGTTGCTGTGTACGTGTCTTTGAGCAAAAAAGGGGCAGCTCAGGTCAGACAGTAAAAATCAGACCACCTGAGTCTCATACATAATATGGCACTCACAATAAAGAATGGGATTGCGATCCCAGATGAATGTTTTTATTATTATTTTGCAGGATAGAAAGTATAAAAACAGTTAATTTTAGGCAAGATGAGGCATGTTTAAATAGTTCATTTCATTCACAGATTAATTTGGTTTCAATGCAGGAGATTTGTTTTGGGGGTGGGGGGGGGGCTGTACAACCTGCATTACTTTTGCTAGCATGTCCTCATTGGTTGTCATGGTAATGGTTCAAACTTGCATAGGTTTGCCATGTATGAGACATTAGCAATGGATATTTTGCTATTAATGATGCTTTTTGCAGTATCAAAATCTTTATGCGGACAACAGCATAAATATCCGGTAAGGGTGAATGACAAACAAACACATGAAATCTGATCTGATGGATCTATCCTTCTGATCTATCTGATCTCAGTAACAAAAGTCTGAGTGTTTGGTGTTATCATATTAATATTTAATATTTAAAACCACTTTCGAAGGTGTTTTTTTTTTAATGTGGTGTTTGTTTTTCTGCAAAGATTTGAAAATACTTTTTTTCTTTATTTTAGGGAAATTAATACTTTTATTCAGTGACATCAACAGTGACAGTAAAGACTATAATGTCACAAAAATTCCTATTTCAAATAAATGCGGTTCTTTTGAACTTTCTATTCATCAAAGAATTCTGGAAAAAAATTATATCAGGTTTATATTCAAATTGAAAACAGTTATTTGAAATATAATGCAAATAAATGCATCCTTGGTGAGCATAAGAAACTCAGAAAAACTTTAAAAAAGCTCAGATACTTAAATGTTTTGAATATTTCATATTTAGATGTAATGTAACTTTTTTGTAACTTGTAATGTAACCTGTAACTTTTAAATGGTATAGTGAATTTTTTTTCAGTTTATAGTTTAAGACAAAATGAGACTGAATTTGTATTTGTATTTTTCATACTGTTGCATTTCATAGTTTAAAAAGAAAGGTAATGTATGGAAATTGATTGTTTTCATCATTATTTGATTGGATCATGAACTTTAGAACTGAAATATGTTATACTATAATTCTTTTGCCTAACATTATTTTTCCATTAGCAGAAAAAATTGTTTCAGAGACTGACAATGCTACATTACATTGACTTACATTACATTTATCGACAAATTATTCACATTTATTAAGAGTTAGAGCAGTGAATGTGGTTGGTGTTTTGAAAGCCAAAGTGTGTGCCATGTGCACAGAGCAGACTTGACTGCCTGTTTCTGCATTGTCATTCATGAGTTCACAGCAGTAGCTGGTTTCCCAGTGACGCACTTAACGCTTCCTCTTTAGTGAACTCGGACGCATTCTCTCCTCTCCTTCCCTGATTAAGCTTTAATGAGTCTGACAGCACCCTAAACAGCTTCACAGCTTCTTTCATCTCTATCAGAGAGGAAGCGCTAGCAGCCCTGATCTACCAGACAAGCCTGATTTCATCCTGCAGTCAGGCGTATTCATCCTCGTCTTCACAATAACCTTCCGAGCATGCTCTCTGCATATCATTTGGATGAAAGCAGGAATTTGTCTAAGAAAATTGTAAATGTCGCTGATGTGAGGATAATGACCCGTGTTAGACAGTGCGCCTTTGTTTTCCAATGCCAGCTTACCAATTCATTCCGTTACACACGTAAGAGGCACAGCCAAGTGTTAAATGCTTGTTCCACTCGTCTGGAAAACAAATGGAAATAGGCAGTGCTTTAGTGTCACATTAAACATGGAAAAATGCTGCAAGGGTTATTTATTTATTTATTTATTGAGGGATTTTTTTTTCTCTCTCTTTTTTTTTTTGCAGCTCCCTGTCACATTTCACGTGGCAGTGCAGGTTTACTGGGTTTTTTTTGTTTTTGGGAGATACCTAGGTAACCTAAAGAATAATGTGAAGTTATTGAGGGAACACTGTGATAACTTTGTGATAACATTTGAAAAAAACATATAATTATGGCCTGCATGTCTATTTTTGTAGGACCATGAATAGAGGAGAGTACTCCATAATTGCTCAACTGAAGAAAGAAAGTAAGTCTGATTATTCTCATCCCTCTTCTTTCTCTCTCTCTGAGCATGTTGGTTATCGTGGAAGGAACGATAAGCTGACATGATAGTGACATAATTGAATGTGAACCTGACTCTGTGGTGAGTGAGTTTTCCTCTTGACCTGCTTATGGAGGATTCATAATGGAAAAACACCCAGCCTGTTTAGTGTTGGTCTTCATCTTTCTTTCTTTCTTTCTTTTTATTTATTTGAAAAACAAAAATACTAAAATAGAGAACAAAAATAAATGGGTGAACACAGAGAAGGAAGCAAATACAATTATTAAAAATATGTTATATAATGTGGGAAGTTTAAGCTTTTAATTGGAGATGATGAAGTGATGATAATAGTAAACGTAAATCTGAGGGTTTGTGAGTTGATGAAAAGATAATTAAAGGGTTAGTTCACCCAAAAATGGCCCATAAATTACTCACCCTCAAGTCATCCTATGTGTATATGACTTTCTTCTTTCAGACAAATCCAGTCGGAGTTATATTAAAAATGGTCTTTGATCTTTCAAGCTGTTTCATGGCACTCAGCGGGTGTTGCATGTATCCGTCCAAAACAAGTTAAATTAAAAGCCCCCGTCCATAAAAAAAAAAGTGTCTCACACGGCTCCGGGGGGTGAACAAAGGCCTTCTATAGCGAATCGATGCGCTTTTGTAAGAAAAATATCCATATTCAAAATGTAATAATCACTTTAATGTAGCTTGCGCTCACTGTTGTACATGGATGCAGTTCCGGGTGGATGACGTATGGAGGTCGGCTTTGTGCATGCGCGTTCAGAAGTGACACACGCGGAAGCGCAGGGGAGAGATCAAAACAAAACAACGGGGTACAAAACGAGGATTTGTAAAGTAGAATGTAGGAGGATTTCGATATAAGCCAAGAGGAGACTGGTTTTCCTTTGCTAAAGTAAGGAAACTTTGCCTCCTTTGCTCCTGTTAACAAACGTTGGTTTTCACGAGACTCACCAGCGCATGTGCAACGCTGAGCTCATACGTAATCCGCCCGGAGCTGCTTCCGTGTAGGACTGTTGGCGCAAGCTACATTAAAGTGATTATTACGTTTTGAATATGGATATTTTTCTTACAAAAACGCATCGATTTGCTACAGAAGGTTTTTGTTCACCCCCCGGAGCCGTGTGAGACACTTTTTTTATGGATGGGCGCTTTTTATTTAACTTGCTTTGGACTGATGCATGCAACACCCGTTGAGTGCCATGAAACAGCTTGAAAGATCAAAGACAATTTTTAATATAACTCCCGACTGGATTCGTCTGAAAGAAGAAAGTAATATACACCTAGGATGACTTGAGGGTGAGTCATTTATGGGCTAATTTTCATTTTTGGGTGAACTAACCCTTTAAATAATACAGATTTGTATTGAAATAAAAAAATTAATGTAAAAACAAAAAACACTTAATTTTTTGTTTACATGCACACTTGTAAAAAGGATTTTATCAATAAGTCATGATAACACAAGTATAATACATGATAACACAAACTAATTTCGACTTTCACGAGATTCAACACTATTTCCGCACAAGTCAGTTTATAATTTAAGTTCCAAGTTTATTTTCAGGAATATATGGCCTCTTGGCCCATAGTTCCACAAGATCACAATGACATGGCAGATACTCTTTTATTCATTCCATGGTATATATACAATGACAATCTCCATGCATACTCTGAATCACAAACACTTGACACATCAATACAGACATCACCAACAAGAACACGATCACCTAAACTTTTCTTACGCAAATCCACATGCAAAGATGAATCATACAAGAAATGCTTTTCATCTTCTATCATAGAAATATTTAATGTTAGTTTACAATAATTATAGATTCTCTCTGCCACTGGTATATTACTCCATCTGCCTGTTTCGATAGCTAAATGAAGACTTGAACATCTAAAAAGGAACAATGATTGTACCAGTTGCATGTTATAGATGCAATGTAGCTCTCTTGTACTAACAAAGATTGGTATTGTGAATATAAGTATATTTAACTTATTAGTTTCTATAGCTGATTTATACCATGCCTCGTGCTTTTTCTTTCAATCATTGGTTAAGAATAGCTATGAATGTATGACCTACACTTTGAGCCTCCCAAGCACTAGAAAAAACATAAAAATAAAGCAAAATACAAGTAACCCATGTTTTTCTACCTATTTCATCTTTCCTATTTCATCTAACTGAAAAAGCATATTATATAATTTTCTTGGATAACGCTGATTAGACATAGACACTTATTTTATCCAATACATGATACATCTTTTCATGTAAGAAGTGGACAATACAAATCTACCCAAAACAGCAACATTGCTCACACTTGTACTGAATCTACTGATATACAGGAGTTTTTAGAAAAAGATACCTGAACATTTTCAATACACTCCACTAGCTCAAAGCCTCATATCTCAGATCCATAATACAATATAGGAGCAACCATGCGATCAAACAAATACAGAGATTGATTGCAGCTAATTTTATGTTTACGAACAAACCTTAGCAAGGGAAGCATTGCAAGTTGTCTGGTTTTCCACCATGACAATTTTGGTGTAAATCACATATAAACCCAGATATTTGTAACATTTAACACTTCAATCTGTTCACCAAAATACAAATTTTCATTCTTGTCTAAAGAACCCCCTCATACATAACTTTTGTTTTACTCAAATTCCCTCTCATACCCCAGCACTAAAGTCCTCTGACACCCGAATTTGGCTATTTATTCCATCATCTTCATCATTACTTCGTTCACGTCATTCCCATGTTTTCTGTGGTCCGTTTCACCTGATGAAACAGACCACCACTGGCCTTGCTCTTCCAGATGATCTCTTCCCAACACTGTGAGCACGTTCAATTTGTAGTTCTACATCGCTTTTGGCTCTGCCCAGATCAAAATATTCAGTAACATGGTCCCGCACCTTTTTCTCACTCTCTTCCCATCTTTCCCGATCCGACTCTGGGATGCCATAAAAGACAAGGTTATCCCGTCTGTTCTGATTTTCCATGCGCTCATGCAAGTTCAGTGTTTTCATGCTCAAGTCTCTCAACTGTCTTCTCGCACTTTTCAACGAGTTCTCTTAAATCCAATCAATTTGGGCAAGTGTGTGGGATTCTTTTGGTTATGAACCAGCTGTTGCTCCAAATAGTATCTGCTGTGTTATTCTCCCCGCCTAAACATTCTTTTCCACATTGCCCGCTAAGATTAAGAGAAGGCCAACAGCTGCCGCTAGCCGCAGTTCGCCTGCAATAACACCACTATGAAGGTTAATTGTGGCTGGTTTAAAGTTTAAACATTGCTTTTAAACGCTTGGCTGGGAATATCGGCCCGTTCTCTGCTTTCATTGTTCAATGGTGATCCGCATGATACCGGAAGTCAACTATAATTTTATAATTATATAACTTAGTTGAATTGACTTGCACAGCCAATTTGATTATAATTAAAAGTTTAAGGCAGCAACTGAACTTAAGTTTGAAGTTGAAGTAAGTGGAATTTTTTTTATTACAGTGCATGTTATTTGACCATTAATCGACATCAGAGAACAGTGAACATTCAAATGTGGTGTTAAATTATTGAAATATTAACTTAAATTCTCAGAGTTAAATGGGTTTTATTAAGAAAAAGGGTTTGCCGATCCCTGACCCATAATATTCTGTCTTTCTAGGATGGTCTAAATGGCAAGAGACAACTTTTCTTTTTTTCTTGGGCAGTGGTGTTTTGTCTGTATTTCACCCGATTCTCTCTTTATACCCCCATAGTGGATGACCAATGGATGAACTACATCTCTATTTGTGGACTGAGGACTCATGCTGAGCTGGAGGGCAGACTTGTGACTGAACTCATCTATGTTCATAGCAAGTTGCTCATTGCTGATGACAACACTGTCATTATTGGTGAGCTAACAATGTTACAATTTGCCAAAACAAATAATTAAGGTGTTATTGAGACATTTTCATGCCTGCTTTCCTCTGTAATTGTTGAGCAACACGCTGAGCAAGTGCATAATTTCTTTATGGCTGGAGTTTTATACTCCCCCTTGTGGAAGACTATGGTACATTGGATTTTGATGCACAGACAGTGAAGGCCACACATAATCATTGACCTGGCATATAAATAGCTAGTTTTCACATTTACCAACTAATTTTCCTCAAATAGTCCAAAAGATGTGATTTTTAATGAGATAAAATATCTGTCTGTGTAGTTTACACATGACTGCACTGCCAGATGTGCAGTAGTGACATTTGTTCTGCAGTTCTAAGCTAAGCTTTGTCGTCATGCCTCTGTTTTCTTACCATGACTGAAAAGACGTATCACATCTGTAAAAAAAAAAAAGTTCAAATAATACTTTGCACGAGGAGTGGAGGAAACTCATAAAAGATAAGCGAGTGTCATTTCAGATAAAGCTTTAGATTTCTGCAGAAGATACAAGAAATCAAATGAAGAAAGCCATAGATCAGAAGGAAGCAGACGGGAACATTTAGCCGCATACTGAAATTGAGTTATCTCTGACTCTGTAGGTGGAAGATTTGTGTGCTATTGAATTAAATGCCTCAAGATCCAATCACTTATAAAACAATGAATACAATTGAATGAGAGTATTAAAAAAAATCTTGTTTTGTTGTCTGTGATTATTATTTGTCTTGATATTTTAGATTAAGCAAGTCATGATCAGTGTGTGTTTCCTTTTAGCAAACCCACAGGCATGCATCACTGTCTTTTTATAGTTATTGCCATTTATGAAACAGCTCAGACTTGTTTTGCTTTTAATGCTACTAGGCAGTTTTAATACTTTTTACAATTTTACCAGGATTTTTTATTTATTTATAAAATGTTCAATTAAAATTGTATAGTTTTAATTGAATATATTATATATATATATATATATATATATATATATATATATATATATATATATATATATATATATATATATATATATATATATTATTTTTAAATCTTTAGTGTTTAGTATCATCATAAACAACATTCTTTAGTGTTTAGTATCATCATAAACAAAATCCAATTATTGTTTAATTTAATTATTCTTTTTCTTGACTCTTTTTAATTTATTTGTTTATTTTTTAGGCTCTGCCAACATCAACGACCGCAGCATGTTGGGGAAGAGGGACAGCGAGGTAGCTGTGATTTTTGAAGATTCAGAAACAACGCCATCAGTGATGGATGGTCAAGAGTACCAGGCTGGCGAGTTTGCTCTGCAGCTCAGACTGGAGTGCTTCAAGTAAGATCTGGTGGAAAGCCAACCATCCTAGTGTTAGCAAAACAACTGAATCACAGCTGAAACTCTGTTTTTCCATAAACCAGAACCATTCTTGGTGCCTTTAATGATCCGACCATTGATGTTAGTGACCCCATCAGCAACGGATTCTACAAAGATGTCTGGATGAGCATTTCGGGTAGGAACGCCACCATCTATGACAAGGTTAGTGTGATTCCTTGTGTCTTCCCCCACTCGCTCCTGGGAATGTGGTGGAATTTATGATGGCTACTTTCCATCATCCTATTACGTGGATCATTTGAATGATGATTTAGAGGTGTTGCTCTGTCGTTTGTCAGATAGGTATTGCTCTCAATCACCACTGAAGCTCTCAGACTTGGTTGGCTGTTTGGCAGCCTCATGGCAGGCCAATAATAATGAGGCTTAATGGAATGAGAGATTCTTATTCTGAGCCACCATTGTAGGCTGGCAATTTCAGTAAATACCTCACATACATCAGCCACACAACCAAATGTTTCACACATATGCAGACACAATTAGGAAGCATTAGTTCCCACCTTAAAGGTGCAAGGCTTCCATTCTATACCATAATATAAGATAAAATCAAATATATATTTTTTGAATTTATTATTTAGAAAATTATTTTATTAAATGTTTAAAAAATAAAAATGCTATTTTTATTTTAGGTAAGGTTTGAGTAAAAACAACTCACTTTATCATGAAAACCATCCATAATCAGACATTATATTTGCAGAAAAAATTAATCATGGCGACAAATACACCTGCATATTTCTACAGTGTCATCACCATATGTAACCTAGCTTTTGCATAATAATAGAACACTGCAAAATTGGTTATGAAGATGAATAAAAGCCACAACAACAACAAATACTCTGCACTTTTAAAGCTGTTATTTATATGTGAAAATATTTATCTCTAGATACAACCATCAGTTTTTTTTTATTTTGTGTGCACTTGAATATTATTTTAGTATTATTTATAAATTATAATAATTTTTATAGTATTTTGAATTAGCTTTTATGCCTAATGTTTATATTTTTAGTTATCTATATGTAAGTTTTAGTAATTTAGTTTTTTTTCCTGTTTAGCTTTAATTAAAATTATTTCAATTTTAATTTTAGTACTTCAACTTTATGTCCTGTAGTTGCCAAAAATTGTCATGAGCATAAAAAAATGAATTTCTCATCTGTTCCGAATTTCCAAATACAATGTGAGTGGCAGAAAACTGAGGACTGTTGATGCGGTTGCATTGCAGGTTTTCCGCTGTCTGCCCTCAAGTCTGGTGAGGAACACACAGGAGCTCATGAGCTTCCAGTCCAAATCAGGTCTTGATAAAGAGAACCCTGTTAAAGCTCAGGAGCTTCTGAAGAAGATTAGGGGCTTCCTGGTCCAGTTCCCATTGGAGTTCCTCTGTGAGGAGAACCTCATGCCCTCGGTAGGCACCAAAGAAGCCATGGTGCCCACTGAGATCTGGACCTGATGGCACCAAATGAGAAGCACAGAAAAGACAATCCACTTCCAACATGAGGAGAAAAACAAAGACACCACTGTGGTGGACGAAACTTCAGATGTGAAACATCACACCAGTCGATACGAAGGAGCAAAGGATATTAAGACAAACTGTCTGCCCATCATCAGACAACTTCCTATTGTTTTGTACCTTTTATCAATGTTATAAATGTACATAATGATATTACATAAGTGATTATCAGCACATATTGTGCTTTTACTATATTGTATTTAATGAAAGTCGCCTCTCTGAGATGCCAAACAGAAGGGCTTTTTAAAGAAATTTTATAATTCTAATGTACATATAAAGAGGATTCGATTTTTATTGCTATAGCTGGTTCATTTGTAGAGGCAGCACTCAAAGTGAAGGGCAAAATGGAGAGTGGAAGGCCTGTCAGATATAATTTTGTCACTGAGGCCCATTCTTCAGCACGGCGTCCCCAGTGGAAGCGCATCCGTGACAGGCTGAGTACAGTGATATGTGTTTTCTGCAGAGGCTTTTACTGTCCAGCCTCGCTGCCTGTGTCTAAGTGTCAGTGCTCTGGGGAGACCAGACAATCTGTCTGTGAATTAAAGTGCTGAGTAACTGAAGGAAATTGTTGCCTCTCAACACCAAACAGCGACGTTTGGCATCCAACCTTACATTTTCCTCTTCACAAATGTGGCACAGGTCGGTTTCCCACTCGGCTTAGTTTTGGTGATGTGTTTAAGTTTTTAGTTCTTGTGATTTTATCTGTTCTTTTTTTCCCCTGAAATAAAAAGTAATGTATGAGAATACACTACTATTTTAAGTTTGGGGTCAGTAAGATTTTTTTTATTTGATTTGTTTTGCTTTTAAGAAGTCTCTTAAGCTCACTAAGGCTTCATTCATTTAATTATAATTTCATTAAAACAGTAATATTGTGAAATTCATTCTTGTGATGGCAAAGCTGAATTTTCAAGCAGCTATTACTCCAGTTTCCAGTGTCACATGATCCTTCAGAAATCATTCTAATATGCTGATGTAGTGCAGAAACAAGAAGTATTTGAAAACAGTTGTGCTATTTATTATTTTTGTGGAAGCATGATACATTTTTATTCAGGATAGAAGGCATTTATTTGAAATAAAAAATATTTTGTAAAATTGTAAATGTCTTATAAATGTTACTTTATAAATGTCACTTTTGATCAATTTAATGCATCCCTGCTGAATAAAAGCATTTTTCAAAACATGTATTACTGACCCCAAACTTTAGAACGTTGCCGTTTGATTATTTGCAACTGATTTTTGTGCCATAATGCAACTCACTTATTACAGGGTATTCAATGAGAATTTTATCCATCTGTAATTGATTAGTTGGTGAAAATGTCCATTATAAACCAAAATGGAGCCAAATCGAATGTGGGCACACTAAAATAATGCCTAAATAGTTTTTAGGATTAAAATTTAAAAAAAAAAAATTTATTTGGAAAAGGTGCACAAATCAAATATTCACAATAAGCATTTAGAAAGAAAATTATTTCATGTTTAAAAAATTCACAAAATTATCCATCATAGCTTCTGAATCTGTTTAAAATGAGAGATAAAAATGTTCACGGTCTTTCTGTTTTTTTCAACATGTACACTCTAAAAAATGCTGGGTTAAAAAGGGACAAACCCAGCTATTGGGTTGTTTTGACCCAGCGGTTGGGTTGTTTTGAACCTAACTGCTGGTAAAAAACAACCCAATAGCTGGTTCAAAACAACCCAATAGCTGGTTCAAAACAAAAACAACTCAATAGCCGGTTCAAAACAACCCAATACCTGGTTCAAAACAACCCAACCGCTGGGTCAAAACAACTCAATAGCCGGTTCAAAACAACTCAATAGCCGGTTCAAAACAACCCAATACCTGGTTCAAAACAACCCAACCGCTGGGTCAAAACAACCCAAAAGCTGGGTTTGTCCCTTTTTAAGCCAGCATTTTTTAGAGTGTATGACTGTCTTTGAAGATTCAAGCTTGCTACATCTTACCTCAATTGGTGACAGCAAAGCTAAACCCGACTGAATAACATGGGACTCACAGGGAGAAACGACTCCCGTGCAATGTTCCCTCTAAGCTGCGCGCGCAGAAGAAATAATGTGCCGCGCACACGCATAAATGAGTTGGGAAAGCCATTTGCGAAAGCGAATGAATTGCAATGCTCGGGTAAACCGCTATAGAGTTGATATCGCTATAGAGTTAGAACCGGTGAATGCGGTTTACAGGTTTCATGGAAAGAGAATGATGTGCGCCAAATGAGTCGCTGTAGAAACCGAATAATGGTTGCGGATGAAATAGCTCAAATCGAGAGCCAACGCAATGACATGTGAAATAAAACGTCATCATGTATTAAAGAAGAGTGGCTTGATTAAGTGCTGGAAATAGCGGATGATGGCACAGAACGGTATAACTCAGAGACATTTACAGTCACAGGTGTATCGTGCAAACTGTACTTTATAGGGCTGTTTAGATTTAACTTACAGATCTCAGTTTAAATGCTTCAGTTTGTTTTCTATTGTGTTCTATCAGTTTAAATGCCTCAGTTTGTTTTGATATTATATTACTGTATGTTAGGCCTATATTATAAACCTAATAAATAATTGACCTTGTTTTTTAATGGATTTAAAAAACTTATGGACTTATGCTCATCAAGGATGTATTTATTTGATCGAAAATACAGAAAAAAACTGTAATATTGTGAAACTTTATTGCAATTTCTAATATTGGTTTCCTATTTTAATATACTTTAAGATATAATTGATTCCCGTGAAGCAAAGCTGAATTTTCAGCATCATTACTCAGTGTCACATTATCCTTCAGAAATCATTCTAATATGCTGATTTATTATCAGTGTTGAAACAGTAGTGCTGCTTAATTATTATTATTATTTTTTGGAACCTGTGATACTTTTTTCTTTGATTAATAAAAAGTTAAAAAGAAAAGCATTTATTCAAAATAGAAATCTTATCTAAAAATATAAGTCCATACCATCACTTTTTATCCATTTAACACGTTCTTGCTGAATAAAAGTATTAATTTCTTAAAAAAAGAGAAAAAGATTACTGACTGATTGTATTGTTATTAAAGCATCAACATTCACAGAACACTTATTTTTAACTAAAGCGAGCGGCTGCTGCGTGCATGGTTTGGATGGCAGAATGCCAGCAAAGAGCGCTGCATTTATAATCTCTAAAAGACATCTCAATTCATCGCAATCTCACAAATCTCTGTTATAACACAATAAATATATGCATAATGAATCTTTCATAACGTCTACAATTCGTGTGTTATAATGAGAGGATTCGTGAGCACGCACATTTCAGCACTGCATTGCTCAATGCTGCAAACACCTGTTATAGCCTAAATAGAAATGTCTCAGGTTACTTTTGTAACCATGGTTCCCTGAGTAGGGAACGAGACACTGCGTCCTCTAGGGGTCGCTATGGGGAACGCCTCGTCATGACCCGTGTCTGAAGCATACATTGAAAAAACACCAACTCGTTGGCCGGCGACAGCCATGACGTCACCACCGGTGCGACTATAGTATAAATAGGCGCCGACAGCTACATATCATTCACTTCTTCGTCTGAAGCTTGTGTCCAAAACCCCCCTTCAAACTCATCGGCCAGATCCACCTGTGATCCCCGCGTGCCTCAGCAGCGGCGGGTCCTGGATCGCAGGAAGCAGATGGCTACCCCTCTTTCCTCGAAAAGAGAGACAAACGAGAGCGGAGCTTTTTTCCTTGGAAAAAAGGCTTGCAGTGCACTCTGATTGCCCCCTCGGAGACATCGCGTGCGTGCTCTTTTTGCCCAAACAAAACAACGGATAGATTGTGTGTGTCATCAGATGTAAAACAACTTCAACACGGAAGCACACATCCTTAAATGCTTTGCTAGTGCTCGCCATAATGAGATAAATAGAGATCGCTCTTACCACAGAAATGCACGCTTCAAACAAAACAGTCAATGAAGACGAAGAAGAGAATGATGTGTAGCTCCCGGCGCCTATTTATACTATAGTCGCACCGGTAGTGACGTCATGGCTGTCGCCGGCCAACGAGTTGGTGTTTTTTCAATGTATGCTTCAGACACGGGTCACGACGAGGCGTTCCCCATAGCGACCCCTAGAGGACGCAGTTCGAAGTTCCCATGAAGGGGAACTCTGCATACGCTTGCACCTGTTAATCGTTTATATTTTATATTAGTTCATGTTGCTTTTGTGCAATAGATGAATAACAATTTATTTGTTTTAGATATTTTATGTTTAGATATTTCTATTTTGCACGATCGAGTCCCGTGAATCATTTTATTCTCCTGCATCCCACACGAGTGTCTACCCGCCCCCACCAGCACTCTGCGTCAGGTCTCGCGGGAGAGCAGGGCTGCGTTCAGCCCCGGCCAAACGGTGCAAAACGTTTTTTAAACGGAAACGGTGGTGCGTTGAACGCCCTGTTCTGACGCAAGACTTGCAACTATGGCAGCTGAGAAGGCCATTATTTATTTGTGTTCTTTTTGAAGAATTTTTGGAGCCTGATGAAATCGGTATAAATGCTGTTTAATACTGCAAAATATGCTCGGTGTTACAGTCACTGCCCTTGCCGTCCAGAATAAAAGAGAACATCCCAATCTAGTGAAGGGCCAACATTTGCCTCGCATTTCAGGATGAAAAGACAAACATTTCAGGTGAAGGATAATCCACTTCTTCCGATAGCCTACTGTGTTATGATCTATATGACCTTATTATTTTTATTGTGAGTATTAGGCTTATCATTATTGCTGATCACTGTTGTTGTGCTATTGTAATATTTACCATTATATAATCAGAGGAGTATACTTTTTTTTTTAAAAGTGTCACTCCACAATACAATAGCAAAATATATAAATATGTATAGTATTTTTATGTTCCATTATTGTGTCTAGCACACCTTCCTAAGGAAAGGATATGGACCAGAAGACATTGCAATTACTAAATGATATTTAG